GCACTTTGTGCAAACACACTGCTTTTACCCGAGAGCAAACAGTGCTGCTCCCCGTGCCCGTTCTGGGCTGCAATTAATCTGGTTCTGGCAAATCAGAAACAAAGTCCCCAGCTCTATTAAGAGCCACCTCTTGTGGCATCTTGAACGTCTGAGCAGCTCATCACTGCTTTGTAAAAGGCTGGTGAGGGTGAAAGAAGGGAAAGCATCATTCAGCATGCCACTGTTCAGCTCTTCCCCACTAGACATCATGCTTTTGTCATTTGAGGCACCTGATAGCTCCCAGAAGTGTGGGCCAGCATCTCCCTCAGAAACTTTTGAAATCTTCATGCTTTTTTCTAAAAATTGTGTGTTTGGGATCTGGTGAGAGCTGGTCTTGCTGGGGGATGCAACAGACTGTGACTACCTTTCCCCTCCTATGGCTACATAAACTAAACATCCTTTGTAAGAAGTCCCAGGGCTGGTGTCTAAAGACTTTGGTTTCTTTTAGAAACCTGAGTGTCACCTGTTAGCAAAGCAAGTGCAACCCACAGCCAGGCTCCAGGCTATTAAACTGAGTATGTTTCCTGAGCAGTGCAACCCCAGATCTTCCCAATACCAGGGTGGATCTGCCCTGCCCAAGACTATGACTGAAAGGACCTGCAGAAGGCTCTGGGCTTTAATCAGCTACCCAGTTTATACTGAATTAGTTTTTGAAATCCACTCTACTAAAACCTTGACAAAATACAAGTTTCCCTTGAAATGCTCTGTGACGAAGGGTGTCCTGCTGCCCAGTCAGCCAGCTTGGGGAAAACACTGGAGTTCAGCTAAGGCCATCCTGTAAATTGAAGCTGATTTAGAAATCTGAGCCATCTGCAGCATGTGGAGCTTGAATCACCCACACTGAGTCCCCTCAGTGAAGGCAGAGGCAGACCTGTGTTTGGGGAAGACATAATTAGAAGAGATCCCAGATCATTAACTTCATTACTGCAGCTGTGATTAATAGCAGCAGCAGCAGTGTGGAACATCACCAGGGAGAATGGATGTGGGATCCCAGCTCACTGGTGATTTCCCATCTCCATGATCTGCTCTCAGTAAAAAAGGAATTGAAATTAATTTCCATCCCCAGAGCCCCACGGCTTGGTCCCAGGGTTGTGGAGTCGATGGAGAGGTGCTGGGGACATGGCAGCTTTGGGTCTGGAGCTGTTGTGGCTGTGGACACTGTAAGTCTGTCCCACACCATCACCTGTGCCCTCCTGCTATCATAAAACCCCCTTGATTTGCCCCATGGATAGACATTGTGATGCTTGATTAGCTTAGAAGATGTTCCATCTAACATATAATACTCCAGAAATGTCACAGTAATCTGCTGGGGATTTTAAAAAATTCATTCCCTGGCTGTGCTGTGGTTGTCACACACTGACTCTTGGTTCCCGCTGTTCCAGCCACCATCGGCTGCCCCTCCCCAGCTCACACAGCTGAGTGTACATCCAGAGGGGGTTTCTTCTTCAATAACTAAATTAACATGCTCGCAGCAAGCGCTGCTGAGCATCAGAAGAAGCTGGAGGAGGCGAGCGGCGGGGCTCAGGCAGAGCCGGCTCCTCCTGCGAGATGCTGAAGGTGGCAGCATGTACCGGCAAAAGGGACCGGCCTGCAGCAAACCCCTTCTCCCTGCACAAAAACATCCCGACTTCTAAAGTTATCTTGCTATAGGCCAGGAGCAAAAATCAATAAACCCCAATTCCAGTTCTAAATCCCGAGAACAGCCGTGTTCTCTGGATTTAGTGCAGGTGTGGATGTCTCTGGGGCAGAGTAGGGTTGGTGCAGCTCAGTTGTGCACACACAAGCCAAGTGCTGAGCTTGTGTTGATGTTCCTTTTCCTAGGAAATACTTTGGATTTTTTTGGATATACTTCTTGCTTGGAGCGTTTCATTCAGGTGACTTCCAGAGGCTTTGCTCTGCACCACGCTGTGGTAGCTCCTGCTCAACCCAGCTGCTCCCTCACACAAGATTTGTGGGCAGAGATTTTGGGTGATGGGAGTGTCCCCAAAAGGGAGAGCCAGGGAGAGCACCCTACATCTCAGTGGACAGGGGAACAGCCAGAGAGTCAATGCCACCAAGGACCTGCTGGCTGGGCTCAGTGGGTGATGGGGTGACAGAGAGTGACAAGAAGTGTCCATAAATCCGTCTGCAAGGAAACCAGGCACGCAGTGAAGTCGTGTTTTCATCCCTCCTGCCAGGCCAATGGAAAATGTCCATGCTGCAAAATTTATGGTGAATATAACTTGGGCATGGAATTGGCTTTTATTTTCCTTACAGAGTTAAGTTCAAACCCAGTAGATTTGCTCTGTCAGATGGGTAGTGCTTTATTTAAGAAAGAATTATTTTCAGTTCTGAAATGTTTAAAGATGTTTGGAGTTTTAAAGGGGAGGAAAAGTAGAAGTGAAGGCACTTTGGAAAGTTGAAATGAAAACAAAAAATAGTCTCTTCAGAAGCTTATTTTAAATGCTCCAGAGCTGACACGTTCATTTTTCATTCTGTCTTACCCAGAACAAATTGCTGTTGATCAAATCCTCCAGGACTTGGGAAGAGGAACGACCCAGCACCCCAAGGGAAGTAGCAACAAAGCTGTACAGATGCCCAGAACATGGAAAAAATCAAATGTGCCTCACAAAAACATACGAGGGAGGCACCATTTCTGGCGTGACATGGCTGTGTACATGCCCAAATCCCAGCTCTTCCAAGTGCTGCAAAATCCTCAAGTAGCCCAGCTGTGGCAGCCCTGAGGCTCCTGGCACTCAGGAGACCTCCTGACCACCACGTATACAAGGAGAATACTTGCAGAGATTTAATGCCAAGAGGTTAAACACCAATCAACAGAAGCTCAGCCTAAAGTCCAACTGCAGAGTGCAAGGATTCAGGAGAAGAAATCAAACCTGACCAAAAGCTCTCTCTAACCACCTCATATGCAGTTTAAAGGTGGCTCCAAATGCCTGGGCTTCAGGAGCTCATTAGAGATGTTTCACCTGGCTTTCCCCAGGAGCAGGGATGGGTGGGAAGCAAAGCCACCCCAGGCACAGCAAGTGCCACAGGCTGCTGCAGGGTGGGTTTGGTGCTTGGCACAGCAGCAGCAGCAGCAGCAGGTCAGTGATTTTCCCTCAGGAGAGCCTCTCTTGCAATGCACAGTGCTGATTTCCTGTGGCTGTCATAGCCATGGATGCTTCCTCATCCCCGAGGATGCAAAACCATGAGGATGCAAAATCTGGATTCTGTAACCAGATTTGGTTACATGGGTAGGGAGAGCCATGACCCAACAGGAGCTGATGGACAGAAAAGCTGTTAATTGCCAGAAGTTCCATTAGAGCTGCTGTTCACTGCTCCCCCTGGATTAACACTTTCCACCCCTCTGGGGGCCAGCACAACCCGGGCAGTGGCCGTGCTCAGGGGACAGCCCTGGCTGAGACTGGGCAAGGAGGGTCCCACCTGCATTTCTCTTCTCACTTACCAAAAAATAAGGATGGCTTTACTATTTTGGTTTGTTTACCCATCTGCTGGTAAGCTGGGTGGAGGGGAGGGTCCTGGGGAGGTGCTGCTCCTCCATGGGCTGTGCAGCCCCACTGTGACTTCCCTGCTGTCAGCATCCCTGGTACTTCACCAGGGAGGACCAGAAGCAGATCTAAGGGCAGCTCCACACTCACCCCAAATATATCAATTTCATCTGTAAAAGGGCCTTCCACTTCCCAGCCTGGCCCTCCATCAAGAAAGGCTCCTTCCACCTGATCTCCCTGTTGCAGGGTGTTAGAGCAAGATGAGTTTTAAGGTCCCCTCCGGCCCAAGCCATCCCAGGATTCTATCATTCCCTTGCTCCCAGGGCAGGTAGAGGGCATTTATTTGATGTTATAATCGCCTCAGTGATTGTGTGGCACACAATAATGGAGAAAGGGAGGAAATTTGACTACAGAAACTGGAAGCAAAGCAGTGATTTCCTGCAAAGGGATGGAACTCTGGCCGGAAGCAGAGGCACAGCCAAGGAAGGAACCTGGGGAGACCAGAGCATCCCCTCAGCACCCAGGGTTTCATAGCAAACAGGGCAAAGAGGGAAAAAAAAATAGCAATGCATCTGGTAATTTCCCTGACATTGGCTGAGGATGAAGCCATCCTCCTAATTAATTGCAATTGTTTTTGGACAAAGCAGGAGGGAGGGAGGGAGAGCTGCCTCTGCTCAGTGAAGTGGGAAGCAAGAGCCTCTGGATGGAAATTTGGTTGCTGAAGGAGCTGCAGCTGTGGCTCAGGTGCCTCCATAGCCCGGGGAAGGAGCCTGAGCCAGAGGCGAGGGTCGGGAGACAGGAAGGAACTGGCTGGCACTTCTCACCTCGCCGGATGCCCATGGCCGGGGGATGCCCAGCTCATTGTTCCCTGGATCCGGCCAGGGCCGCAGGATATCCTGGAGTAGCTGCTGGACCCAGCGTCTGCAGGGGTGGTGGGGAGGGACATTGGGACAGTGAGGACCTGCCACCAGCGGGACACTTGGTTTTATTTCATCTTTTCCCTGAGAAAAATCACATAGAGACAATGCTGAGGTTGTGAGGACATCATAGTAATTCAGGGTGAAGCAGGAAAACTGTTTAAATTTGGTCTCATCTGTTGGGAAGTTAAAACCCAGGGGGTTATAGTGACCTGTAACCTTATGTGGGTGTCGGGTGAAGGGGCTGGCTGGAAAAACCGCAGCCAGCCAGCAGGGCTGGAGGGAGGGAAGTTTCCCAAGGTCTGATAAGCCCCGGGGACACGACTCCGGCTCTATCTGCCCGGCTGGGTCTGGCTGGCGCCCGCTGTACCTCGGCAAGGCCATCCCCGCCGGGTGCCCGCCCCGAGCCCCGCGGGGATCTCCGCACCCCGCTGGAGCGGGCCCGGCTCGCCGCGTGTCCGCCTTGGCTGCTCGCCACTCTCCTCCTATCGAGCTGCTAAAAATAATTCACAGGCAGCGAAGAGAGTGCAACGAGCACCCAAATCTTCACAGCTTCGCTTCGCACCGCTGGGGCATGCTGGCTGAATGGGCTGAATGGGCTGACGCGGCCCCGCTCCCGTCCCAAGGGGCTCTGGAAGAGGATCCGCCTCCCCCTGAGCCCCGCGGCCGGGGACAGGATCCGCGGAGGGGCCGGATCGGGCTGGTTCCCGCCCGGCTGCTCTGCCAGCAGCGGGAACTGCGGGCAGGGATGGAGCCGCTCCTGCCACCACTCACCCAGTGGCCTTGGCCACATCCCCGCCCCTCCTCTGCCACACGAGCCAGGGAACGCTCGGCTCAGGCTGGCAGGTGAGGATCCCTGCCATGCTGCCCTGCTGCCTGCCTGGCTTCCTTTGGGGGTAGTTTTGGTTTGGTTTTGGTTGTTTTTTTTTTTTTGGGTTTTTTTTTTTTTGTTTTGTTTTTATTGTTTGGGATTTTTTTATGGTTTTGAGTTTTTTATCAAGGCTCAAGAAGCAGGTGGGAGGGGGAGCACGGGAAATCCATGCTTCTTGTGCCTTCATGCCAGCACCCACAGTCTGGGAGCACGGCTCATGCCTGCCCACACCCGGTGTGGTCCTCCCCTCCCTGCTCTGGGAGGTGTCCCAGCTCTGCTGAAACATGGGATGACATTCCTTGGGTTTTCCTCTGCCTCTAACAGTAGCTTATTGAAAGTGCTGAGACATCTCAAATACTCAAAATGTCCAAATGTCCCAGCAAGCACCAGAAATATGAAATATGTTTTTTAAAAAATTCTATCTGAGTGATTACTTTGCTGCTCATGTATTATATTTGCACCCCAAATATATGTACTGGGGAGTTTACAGGAGAGCAGCAACAAGGATGGGTTTCTCCAAACCATGAGCCAAGAAAAAACATTAGGAAAGAAGTTTTTTGGAGTAAATGGAGATATAAAAATTTCAGTAGAGACTGTTATGAGAAAAGGGTGACTGAATTGGGTAAAATGTTTAATTTTGGATCCTGAATTGCTTCTTCAAACTGCACTGGGGTACATTTGGTGAGGAAATGTCAGCATAAAAAGTGTAAAATCCATCTGAGACAACCAGTGTGAAAGAGTCTGACTTGGGAGACAATTTTTTTTTTTGGGTATTTTCCCTCCTAAAAACATGTGATAAACAAAACAGGAATTCATGGAGTGATTGACTTGACGTGACTCTGCTTCTTTCTGTGTGAGAAAAAAATAGGAACTCTGTGATGCTGTGGCTCAATATCGCTGCCCGGTACCAGAGCAGCTCCTGTGCCACTTGTCACCAGCTCCCCCAGCTCCATCCGGCCCTGAGCATCTCCAGCAGCCATGGGACAGGGGGCAGCTCCCCTGGGATGTCTGCGCTGCCCCGGCTCAGCCTCTCCTGCAATGTGGCATCAGCCGTGGCTCTGCCGGGGATAATTCCCGGCTTTTAAGGGATGAAGCGCGTTGGGCAGGGGAGCTGGTCCCGGCTGCTGGAGCGATTCCTCGTCAGCATCTGTCAGGGAAGATTAATGCCTAAGTAGGCTGTGGGCTGGCTTCCAGCAGCATTTTTAATAATCAGATGCTGTGCACTGTTCGAGCAACCCGCGGAAATGAAGTTGTCTCATTACCGAAAAGAAATAAATATGTTGATATGAAGAAGCTCATTTGCTGGGGATGTTCAAGCTGGTGACAGCCACAATTCACTCCTGGGGGGCTGACACTCCCCAAACCCTCCCCTGGGCTGCAGCATTGTGTGTGTTGGCCCAAGGGCATGAGGAGGGACGGGTAACAAGCACAGCTTCTGCAAAATATGTAAATAAGGCCCCGGGCTAGCACTTGCAAGGTCTTGGAGATTAAAAAAAGAGCCCCAAGGAAAAAATTCCTGGCCCCAGGGAAGAGGTCTGGCTGGGTATGGCTTTGTGTCTGGGAGCCCACGTGCTTGGATCATGCCTCAGAGTGTGGCCATGGCCACCATGGTCCTTGAGCGTCTCCTTGAGCCTCATAAGCAACGTCACCAATTGGCAGTGTTTGACATATGGTGGAAAATGGCTCTTTTTCATCTGATGGCACTCAACACCAGACTGCTGCCTGATGTTGCCATAAAATCCTTGTTGCTCTGGAGTTTGCACTTCATTTTCCACTACCTGCAGAGAAAAGTAGCCAGTTTTGGAGGAAATCACAGATATTTTAACATGCAGTCCACTCGCAGATCATCAATCCTAATCCTGCAGGATGCTGTACTGCTGGCAGTACAGTCAGGGAGCAAATGACAGGACCACGTGCACCCAGCCCTGGGGACCAAGGGGGCTTGGACATGTCCTGAGGCTGGAGACCAAACCATCCTTACCCTCCTGGAGTCTCACTTGGCACCAGCCCAGCATTGAATGGGAGCTTAACCATCAAGAGAGGCGGGGCAAGATATTAACAGAGGCAAAGCAGAACCAGCGCTTACGGGTCCCCAAATAGGCTGCAGAGACGGGGGATGCCCAAATGGGGCTGCTCTGTCAGGGAGCTCCCCAAAAGTCTGGCAACAGCAGCACCAGCATGTCTGGAGCTGTGATGTACTGGGAGCACCCATGGGCATGGGGCAGCATTGGGCCCCATCCCTGTCATGGGGCAGTGGCAGCCAACAGGCACCAGCCTTTCACTGCTTCAGTGAAAACACATTTCTCCTCCCTGGCATTACACAATGGCTCTGTGGGTGCCCCAGGCTGACCCCCATAAGAGGATTACCAGGCTATTAGTGGATTGGGACAGTGGGGAGGATGTTTGGAAAAATTTGCTCTCCTACCCCTCAGAAAGGAATGCTCACAGAGTCATGGGTGATCCCAAGGCTTCCCATCCCTCTCAGCCAAAGGCCACCTGCAGAGGTGAGGACAAGTTCAGGGCAAAGACCTCTGGTCTGGCTGCAGCTGACACTAAGAGCCCTCCATGGGCTCACAGAGATGAGTTGCTGGGACTGGATTTTGCACTGGGCAAGCCCAAGCCCCCACATGCCTGTCTTCTGGCCAGCCAGCTCACCAGGAAAGCTCTTTCCCCTGGAGCTAGAGAGATCCTAAAGACTTACATTTATTTAACCTGAAAACGTAGCAGGGTGGAAAGAAATCTGGGAGTGGTATCGACAGCAAAATCCCATTATTGGCCATGAAATATGCATGTGCTGTAACTGCATGGGAAGGGCAGGGGTGGCATCCCTGCAGGCTCTGCCACAGGTCCTGGGCAGACACCTCACCCCTGGGGCAGCACCAGCCCCATTTTGTGTGCCAGGATGCAGAAGGAATCCCTCCTCGTGCTCCTGGGGAGCAGCCCCCTGCCAACACGTCCTGCTGTGGTGCTTATCAGGCTGGCAGGAGCCAAGTGTGCCTAAATGCACTCCACAGTGTTTATATTCAAGGCACGTGTTGGAGCCGCTCTGCCGCTGCACTTACCCTGTACAACGCCCTTCACAATTCTCCCCCGTGCAAATCCCATCCAGACCCTGAAATCCCTGCATTGACTTGATATTTGGCATCATTTGGGGATATTTTCACACGAGTTCCAGAGGGAAAATTCCAGGTTAATTTATTTTGGCTTGGTGCTGTTCCTGCCACTGGTCCCCAGTGCTTTGTACCACTCTAAGGAAGCAATAGTGGAGCTGCAAAGCTGAAGAATCTGATGAAAATTTCTTGCTAGTGATAAACCCTTGAGAAGGGTAGGGATGCCCCAAGCAGGCCTTAATTATGGCTGCAATTATTTGTCGTTGCCATTGGAGCTGAAGGGGGCTCCAAGGGAGCCGGACCTTGGCTGTGAGACCACACAAATGGGGCACCTACCCCTCACCCAGCCTTCTCCTGCCCCACTCATGGGGTGCTGTGTGGTTTGAGAGGAGCTGCCTGGCCGTGTGTCCTGCTGGGCAATGGTGCTGCCTGTTCTGGTGGCATTTATCACCCCTCTTGTCACCAAGCTGTGCCCCAGCTCCAGGCTCAGGTACCTCTCCATTCCTCTTCTCAGCCAGGAGGGATGGGGATGTGCTGAGCAGTGAGACTTTGCCAAAACATCCTTTGGGATCAATGTGACCTGGGTAACAAGCCCAAAGAGGGGGTGTTTCACCCCAAAATCATCTCCATCATCTCAGCACATCCTGAGAGCTGCTCCGCATGCACATTCACATGTTTAATCAGCACCCAGCTAATTACCTCCAGCAATAAGGAAACCCTGTGTTTGTAGTGAGTATCTGCTTTAAATGATGTTTTACACAACATAAAAGGATTATTTTATAATTAGCTGTCTTCTAAACCCTGGCCTATTGAAACTAGGATATTAAACCATACACCATTCTCTGCTTTTTAAATATCATCTGGAAGTTGATTAGTTTTGCATTACTAAAGAGGAACCCATTGAAATATTTAATCATCATGAGACCTTTCTCATAGAAATGTTAACATTTGATTTTTAAAATTTTTTTTCCCCGGTAATTACTCTAGCTTTGCTTACACCAAAAAAAGATTGTTGAAGCAATTTCTCCACAACGAAAGGATCAAAATAGTGCTGTGCTTAACACCTGGAGCATCCTTCTGTGCTTGCTGCCTGGCACAGCTCCAGAAAGGAGTCTGTGCTGCTGCTGCTGCTGCTGCAAGCCTAGCGACCACCCTTAGGACAGGGGGAGACTTTCCTTTCCCAGGGGGTTGATCCTGGCTCCTGGAGCAGCAGATGGTTACAGAGCAGGTGAGATCAGACAATATGCCCCAGGGGATGTATGATTTTACACAGGCTGAGGAGAGATTTTAGGACAGACAGAGCTGAACTGCAAACCATGACAGCTCAGAGCTTGGGGCAGGGACCCAGAGGGTTGGAGCATCACTCTTGGATACACAGGACAGCCTGGGGATGTGGGACACCGCTGCTCTCAAAAAGGGTCAGTGGGAGCTTCTGGTATGTTCAATGCAAAAGGAGAAGCTCTGGAAGGGGGTGGGTTTTCTTTAAATCCACATAGAATTGCACGTGGGCATAAACGACTCATCACGTGCTCAGGTAGAGGAGGATGCCAAACTGCACCATTCCCATGGTGGGATGGGAGCAGGGGATGAAGGGCCAGACATCCTCACCCCTTCTGGTCTCAAATATAAAGCCCGAGCCAGGAGGTCCAGCAATAGGATCTGTCCTACACCAGAGTCTGACTCCAGTACGGGGAGCAGCCGCTTCTGCTCCGCTTGACTGGCCACGTCCACACCAATGCTGGGAATAAACCAGCTGGATTTAGACACACTTTAAATTCATCTCCTGCTCCATGCCAGTCATTGGAAATGATACATTTGTCGTGAAATGAAGCCAAGGGAGTAGTATTGAGAACTTTTTTTTTAAACACGCCTTAAATAACAAGAACATTTATTTTATAGGCGATAAAATTCTTACACATTTCGGTCAAATAATGAGGATAATGTTTCTGGCTTCAGGAAAACACTCCTAACATCAGCAAAGGGGAAATTCACATTTCAATTTATCATTTCAAGTTACGAATTTGCATGCAAATGTATATTTAGAAATTTGAAAGAGCTAAATCATACATTTTTGGCAGGCTTTTACTTGCAAAAGAAATTTCCAGCATGGATATAGCTTTGTACTAAATTCCATTATGTTGCTTAGAAGAAAAATATAAAAGATATGGAAAAGCAAAGGAGCTCTGCAAAATGCAGCCGGGTGTTTTTCCTGAGACATGTCCTAATCCTGCAGCTGCACCAGTCAGACCTGGGAGTGTTCCCTGCCAGAAAAGTGGTCCCAAGTTGACATTTGTGGATTGACTTTTACAGCCTGTGCATGTTGCATTTGCCCCTTGATTTGAGGCCAATTTAATTTTACTTTCAGGCAATTTAGGGGATAGAGTGGTGGTGGTGAATGTAGTGATGTGAGGACCATGGGGAGATTGGTTCATCTCCTCTCCCTGCCCAGTGAGAGATGGGATTTTGTGTGAATGCCACACTGAAAAGCCCTGAAATACTTTCGGTTTTGTAATATTCCCTTCTAAGCAATATTGGGAGAATTTTCCTAATGTTTGACCTAAAAGACCCCAAAAAACATTTTTCCTTGTCAGGACTTTATTTTTTATTTTCTCTGTGGAAAACACTGGCAGCATGATCCAAACCCACAAAGCCTAAAGCCTCAATTTTCAGCCAAAAGCCACCTTAACCAGTAATGACACATATTCCTCCCCCACCACTGGGAGGAAAACTTTCCTCCAAGCAGTTGTTCACTTTAAACTAACTTAAAATATGCCTTTAAAGTTATTTCCCTCCTTGTTTAAGTACATAATTGTTTCTACTTGCAGTAATCTCCTCTGAGATGTTCATGGCTGGTTTATTGAGTAACTTCAGTGCACGAGGAAAATCATCCATTAGTTGTGGAGAGTTGCTCCATTCCCCATCATCATTTTGCTGGTATTTATGGCTTGACATCAGCACCCAGCACCCACTGGGGAGAGCATGGGCAGGAGTCTCCTCACACTCACAAATGCCATTTGTTTTAAAAAATTGAGGATTTGGGGCACAAAGAGGGCTGTGGGTCTGGGAACCCATCGCAGTGGGGTTTGTCCCCAAGCCCTCTCTGTCCCTGGCCATGCCATGGACATTCTGGCACTGTCCTCCTGCCTGGATTCTTCCTTGCTCTGGGCATGGAGAGTTTT